ATCCTGCGACGTGAATATTGCAGGTACGCACATTGTGATATAGATGCTCAAATGATATACTCTTCAGCCCTAATTTACAAAATGTATTGTTATTAACATGTTGTATTGCAATTGTATTATTTTTAATTAATAATATTATGGCAATGTTTATTAAATGTCTAGTTTTTTATATTTAAAATTCATATTGTTATACTATTATTTGTAGGAGCAATCTGTGATCATTTTTCACTAGTTGTATTATTATATTACATTAAGTATGGAAGAACAAATGTTCCACAGTGAGAGGCTTTTTATAGCATTGGCAGCATTTGTTTGCTTATTAATCTGCATGTTCAGAGATTAGTTTATTATGGGCTGCATTAGAGTGTTACATCCCATCATATTTGGCATATGGCCTCTGATGTTCCTATTTAACAGCTCAGTGATGAAGTGAATTGATGTCACGGTGCCCAGGTTGATGCACTCCGAAACGCTGCACTCCCTTATGAGGTCTCACTCGGCCCAGGTCCATTCCACCGGCTGGCCATTTCAACTCTAATTTAGCCTTGTATTTATAAAACAAATTAGTCCGCAATTCCAATAAATAAATAACAATACCATACAGTGAAGGTCAACTTTAGAGAGCAATATTCAAATTGTTGATAACACTCAACAATAAGGCTATATTACATAATGTTAGTTAGTGCATTTACTAACATTAACAAATTATCAACAATACATTAATTACAGTATCTGTTCATGTTAGGAATGTGACAGTTGTTCACTGTTAACTAATGAAACATTGTTGTAAAGTATGACTGATTTCATTCATTCATTTTCTTTTGGCTAAGTCCCTTTATTTATCAGGGGTCGCCACAGTGGAATGAACCACCAGCTTATCCAGCTTATGTTTTACACCGCAGATGCCCTTCCATCTGCAACCCAGTACTGGGAAACATCCACACACTCATTCAAACACATACACTATGGCCAATTAAGTTGATTCAATTCACCTATAGGGCATGTCTTTGGACTGGGGGAAACCCGAGCACCGAGAGGAAACAAAATAATGTTATCTTTTTAACATTGTTGAAGAACTTCTCATAAGCATTTGCATTTACTTTTCCTTGTAGCTGAATAAAAGAAACAACTGCTGTTAAAAAAATCTTATAAATTAAATAAATCATCACCAAAACATGACACTTCTCCTTAAACTTTTCTGACTTCTTTACACTTTTTTTTTCCTGTGGGACTCTTTTAGTGGTTTAGTGACACTGTAAAGATACAGTATTCTAAAAATCAAATACACCAAAAAGGAACCACTAGTGACCTTGAAATTTTCGGAATTTTCTGTGGCCTCTTATTTGATTGAATATTCATTATTACACTGAGAAATTAATCCTGTAATATAAACCACTATTTTGGTAAGCGTCAATCCAAGTCTGATCATTTGCTTCTGCATTTGGAGTGACTCTCCTTCTCCCATTATGTCACTGACTTCAGCCACAATATTCTTAACCGTGCCCCTCTTACCATTATTTTGCTACAAGGGAATAATATGAAAAATTAAATCCATGCCTCCTACTCAATATTCCGTATCAGTAGGAAGTAAATCAACATACTAAAATAAAAGTCATTGCAACTTTCAGTTCACACAGACTTTTACTATCGTTATGAGAATAGCCCTAACTTCTCTATCAGTCACACTGCTACAGTAATTCTACTGACTAGTTTCAAAAGGAAGTAGTATGATACGAGTATCAGACCGGTGCATTGTTGAACTGCATTGTTTGGATGATTAGTAAAATTGCTCCACCGATCTTTGCCTTTTTTTTCGGTCTTATTTTGTTTGTAACAATGTAAGCTATAAACTCATTGCTTTTTACCAACATGAATAACATGAGCACTACGTCTCCAGAAGGAACAGTGATGTAAACAAATAAAAAACCATCCACAATTTAATAATATTTCGTTGTACAAAATGTGCATGGAACCTTACTTTTCAAAAATAATCTAGAATTTACTACAATGGTTTATGTCACGTTATTACGATAACAGAAGTATGTACTTCATCTTTTCTGGTGTCTACTGCTTGCGTAAATTTGCGTAAATACTTTGCTTATGCGCTTTTAATTTGAAAACAGCTGCCTTCAATCACTGCTTGAGGCTTATAACTTTAAAGTAATGTATAGTTTGTTGAGATTTCTCACATTCTATTTATGTAATCTGTTGACGTAAAAAATAGCGCCTCAGTGCGTCAATGTCCTCCTGGTGGTTAAGAGGTTTTTAAAAAGGGAAAAATGTATCTTCTGTCATCATTCACTCACCCTCAGGCTATTCCAAAATATCAGTTTCTTCTTCTTAGCAATAAATTATATAATGTGGTTAGCCAAACACTTTATGCTCCCCTCTGACTTCTACAGTATAGTATAGGAAACCTACTATAGACTCCAATGGAGAGGATCATCTGTGCGGTTTTCTCTTTATATCTTAAGTAAACTATCCCTTTAAGAATAATCTTTCAGTGTGTCAATTGCTATTTCCCAAAATGTCATCGAAAAAGAGCATACAAGTAGTCTGTATGATTCGAGTTGCACTTTATTCTATTGGTCTAAAAGCTATGTGACAGTTTAGGAAAACCAGACTGAAGCTGAAGCTGTTATTCATTGAATTTGTTTTTCATTTACTGAAGTTCTGAAGTTTTGTTTATACTTTGACTTCACATATTGCTTTGAATCTGAATCTTGAGGGTGAATAAATGATTTTTATTCTCAACTGAAGCATTCCTAAAAGTAGATTACAGCCAAATTAGATTGAATATTTTGTGGTCAGTTTTGGTAAAATTTTTGCCATGGTCCTATAATACATCTAGACTAGTTTTCCCAATAAGCCTTTTCTCATGCGTCGTCCTTTTATATAAAAGCATTTGATCTTGCCAGCATGTAAAGTCAGGGTATATATCATTTTAATAATGTGCATTTTCCACACTGTGCCTGTGAAAGTAGGAGACAAGCTATGCAGACGTGCCTAGAGAGAATAGAGTATGATCTATTTGAGCCAAATCTCATTTCCAGCCTGTCTCTTGCAAGTCTGATCTCTTTCTCCCTCGCTCTTTCTTTTGCTTTCTTCTTCTGTCCTTTTAAAGTATTCATACACGAGATTTCCCCCTATTGTCAGTTTTGCTGATTGTGTTTGATGAAGTGCCAGTAAATTACCAAATAGTGTGTGAAAGAAATGAAAATGGAAAGCGGGAGTAATTCTTTCTGTAATACTAACAGTGTTATGAGAAACACTCGGAAATGTAATAATATTCTTTCAGTGATTTTTAATAACCCGATAGAAGCACTAAAAGTTTTTAAACATTGTTAAAGAGTCTTGAAGCGTGGATTTGTCTTGAGTCGCTAAAACAGAAGTGCCTTCAGACCAGTGGAAATGTCTTGGGTTTCACTATAACTTATTCAGTCAAGACTAAGAGAAAATAGAGTAACTTTTATTGAAGCTAATAACACATTTAAGGTTGACTGTTGTTTTAGGTACTGTAGGTCAGGGGTTCCCAAACTTTTCAACCCGAAACCCCCAAAATAACAATGCCTGTCGAGACCCCCAATATCCTCTGAGGTAGTTTTAACGTACAAAACTTGCACACAATTTTGCATACACACCAATACACTTCTTTCAAGAAGCCGCCGTTTTAAAGAATGAAAGTGAGGCTGCGGTGGGAAGAAACCCGGAAGTAGAGGATTAGCACTGTAAACATTGCAACAGCATGCTGTGGACTACAAATCTCCAGCTGTTGCAAAGTGCAGATGTGGTGTAAACATCACTTTAATATAATTTAGTTCAGTTAATTTAAATATTTAAAATTAAATTAGGCATTAACAAAATCACAATCGCTTTAAGAGTATTACACTTAAGTGTGCTCCTATACTTTAGTTCATGGCACCAGGTAAACACAGTGAGCACGCTTCCCTGCTTCAGCCTATGTAACTCATTGAGCAATAAAACAAAGCAGTCCTCTGTAGCACACTCTTGTGTTGTTTTAAAAACGTCTATTCACCGTTCTTCACCAATTGCAAACACAGATACGAAGACACTGGAGCGTTTTAAAGCCGCTAAGATCAGTCGATTCATCGAGCAGATCTCTCGTCTGTGTTTGCACTCGGTAAACATCATGAAGTGCGATGAACTGATGACCTTTACGGCCAATCACAGTCATTTCTGTTGAGCACTAATGAACACAATGGTAAATCAGTGCTGTTTAAGAATGCGCTCCACAGTGTCTTAAATTTTAACGGGAAATGGATGTTTTTTTTTTTTATTTCAATACCAAAATTCAGTATTGTGACAAGACTGGTATAGTGAAAGAATCAGTTCATTAGATTGAGTTTAATAAATGGCATCTAAAACATTTGTTTGGGAAAGAAAACATTAGCTGCCTATTACCATTTCCCTGAACTTAGCTGAAAATGAGGTCCAATATCCCTTTTTATTTTCACCATTCATTCAAAACAGACCTTCGGGTCACTTGGAAGGCGGTGAAATTATAAAGTTGTGTCACTTTCTCTTCGCTGTTAAGATGTACAGCCAGGTACACAACGTTCCATTGTGACTCCAGGCTATACTTCTGGGTTTTTTTCCCTCCGCGGCCTTGATTTCGATTTTCAAAATGGCGGCCGCGTGAAATCAGTCTATAGGCCCAAGTCTATTCTTCATTACATTTTTGTGCCATATAAGGTGTCAGAAGGTTTGACCTGGTGCCATAAAATCAATCTGTTGCATCTGACACTATTGATGTGTGGGGTAATTACAATATAATGCAATCACCCCAGCGGTCTCAATATATTGTAAAAAAAATCGAAAAGATATATATATTTTTTTAATGCGACAATTAACTAATATTTTTTTTGTTTTTGGATAAAATATTGTAATTCTAATAGTTTAATAAAGTTCATTTGATTTTTAAAAATCTGAATGATGAATTAAATTTTTTTTTGATGTGTGTGTTTTTGTATTCTGTTAAGGTCTGTGTTCCCAAATGGTCTTTCTCATGAATACTCCATCGTTGCCACTTTCCGGATCAGAAAAACTACTAAAAAAGATCGCTGGTTTGTTCTGCAGATCTTTGACAAAGGTGGAACTTCACAGGTATGTTACAAACCCACAGTTCATTAATTAAATCCATCCAGCTTTTTATATTTCCACCCATCCATTCTTCAATTTAAATTTACATCCATCCATCATTTTATATTCACATCCATCCATCCAACCATCTACCCATTCATTATTTTATATTTACATCCATCCATCATTTTATATTTACATCCATCCATCCATCCAACCATCTACCCATTCATTATTTTATATTTACATCCATCCATAATTTTGTTTCCATCTATCCATTCATCCATCCCTCCATCCTTTTATATTTTCATCCATCCATCTAGTCTTTCATATTTTCATCCATCCATCCATCCATCCATCCATCCATCCATCCATCCATCCATCCATCCATCCATCCATCCATCCATCCATCCATCCATCCATCCATCCATCCATCCATCCATCCATCTATCCTTTTATATTTTCATCCATCATTTTATATTTTAATCCATACATCCATACATCCATACTTTTATATGTTCATCTATCCATTCATCTATTTTATTTTCCATCCATCCATCCTTTTAAATTACCATGCATCCATCATTTTATTTTCCATCATCCATCCATTTATATTTTCATCTATCCATAATTTTATATTTTCATCCATCCATCATTTTATATTTCCATCCGTTCGTCCATCCATTCTTAAATATTTCCATCCATCCATTAAAAATGTATTATTTTTATTTATACTCACTTTTGTACTTAAAATAGCTTCAAGCTAATTAAGTCCATAGATTTATTCATGTTATTCAGAAGAATCCTTACTCTTTTGCTAATATTTAAAAACACATTTTAATAATAAATATACACAATGTCGTAACTATACATTTGTTTTATGTAATATAATTACCACTGTGTTAAGATTTTACATGCAAGTCTTTTACATACATTGTGAGTGAATGGGACCCAGTGATCTATCAGGGCCTGCTCAAAAACCAATAATTTCCGCAAGATTGACAAAATTATCATTATATAAATGGCACTCTTTTACAAACGGTAATAAGTTAGGACTTCAGTCTTATCTCATTAACTGCCTTAATGAGCCTCTAATGTTCTTCTCTCCTCTCTTCATTTAGGTGTCATTAATAGTGGATGGGGCAAAGAAATCAGTGGAGTTTTTGGCTCTGGGTTTTTTGAAGAACAGCCTCCTGTATGTGTTCAAGAATCGAGACCTGCACGCCCTCTTCGATCGACAGTTTCATAAGCTGGGAGTTTCTGTGGAGAGTAACGCTGTGTCCATCTACCTGGACTGTGAATTAATCGAACGACAAGTCACTGCTGAGAGATCTGGCATAGACGTCAGTGGACGCACCTTCATCACCACTCGATTGGAGGACGGGAAGCCAGTCGATGTGAGTTTTTATCGTTGGTTATAAATAAGACTGAACATGTTATGGCAAATGTTTTAAATAAAATATTATGATAATTATATAATTTCAAAAAACTATGTTTCTCCCTATAATTAGCATACAGTGCATCCGGAAAGTACTTTTTCCAATGTTTTTCATATTACAGCCTTAATCCAAAATGGATTAAATTAATTTAATACCTCAACATTCTACACACAATATCCCATGCAGTGTAGCAGTCAAAATTACCTCTTACATTTTAGTGTCTGCTACTTTCCCCTGTGACTTTAAATATCAGTGCCTCTGTTGCCACTCAACTTCCTGCTAACAAAATGTAACTTTCTGTTGGTGTAAGTGGTGTAAATTACTATGTACTTGCGTCAAAAAATAAATACAGTGTACTCACACATGCATGTATTTAATCAGTCACAATTACAAAGTAAAAACATGTCTTCACACAATAAGTACATTATATCAAATTTTTAATTTTGGTGCAAGTACATATTATAAAGTGAGACACAGTAGCCTTACTATACATTTATAGGTTGTATTTCCACAGATAACGTATTTTGAGGGTGACACCGTAAATAAATATGATAACAGACATTCAAATATTAATTTTATTATCTCAGTAATAGCTTTGAATGCAAATATGACATGCTAATATGTTGTCTTATATGAGACATACAGAATGATCAATATGATAATTCTAGTAGTTATAGAATTCTGGTAGTTCCAATATTAAATGGCCCTTTTTAATGCTATTTAATGCTAATTAAATGGCAGTATTTAATGCAATTTTTTGATGGTCTTAGTTAACATGATAATAATATTTAATCTATAAATATCCCTATACGATATCGGAAAAAAAAATGCATTGTGATATTTTGTTTTTCTGCTATACATATTACGATTTTAATATAATTTCACAAAATGACTTGAGTAACTGTGTTTGGAAAGAATTCATATTTTAAGATGAGTAAATCTGCATAAAATATACAAAATTGTCCAAAATAAAATCATACATGAAAACAGAACAAAAGTAAAAATGAAGTAAACATCGCTTGGTTTTCAGTGGAGTCTAACAGCATTGAGGTTCAGAAACGCAATAATAAAATGTACATTAACACCGTATAGTATTCATAGTTGTTAATAGTTGTTAATATCACAGATTTTTTTCAAACTTTAGAACTTCTTGTGCCCAAATGGTTGAAATTCAGTTGGAATCTTATAGTGACATGCTTAAAAAATACATTGAAATTCAAAGTTTTTCACACTATTAAAACCTATTATATTACGTCGAGTTTTTTAACCCAATATCACATTGCAGTTTTACACATAGCGATATCGATGCTGAGATGATGTATTGTGCAGCCCTTATCCCTATTCTCTTCTGTACTACAAATTTTACAACTATTTGTAATTAAATTCTACTAAATCATGACATCTCTAGTTAGAACAATAATGATACTTCATCTTATTAAATATTTACAATTATCAAAAATATTGCTGTAGATCACTAATAAAAAAGCACTATTCTGGTTAAAATTGAATATGGCTATCTGCAAATCTGTTGTATTTATTTGGTCATTTATGTGTTTACGTGCCTGTAAATGTCACAGGTCGAGCTTCAGGAGATCCTGGTCTTCTGTGATTCTCGAATAGCCGACTTGGACAGATGTTGTGATTCTCCTGGAGCTATGGTAAGATGTTTGGGTTTATGATGCAGCAGCATTAATGATATGAACTCTGTGATCCTTCCTAAGCGACTGTAAATCCAGCTTGTAATTTGCACTAAACTAAGAGGCTTGACATATTCATCAAATAAAATCTGAAGAGAACAGTCATTTAACAGTTATCGAGTAACATAAAACTAAATCATTCAGGTAATGTTTTGAATATTGAGGTTTTGTGTCAATTTTTATTTTTTTATTTTTTTGCTTTTACCTGTTGTGGCAATTAGAATTATTTTTAAAGGCTCTGTTACAAATCAGAGTAGTCCCTTTGTACTGTACTGTAGATAGCTGTGGCCCTTGACACTTGATTTTAAAATCAGTGAAGACACTGATAAATAAAGGTGTTAAATTTGACCACTTCTGAAGTAATACAAAATGCATTTAAATTGGAATGCTCCAAAACAAAATATTCATACTTTGCTGATATGTACTAAAACAGTCAAATTATAAATGAAATGGTAAAAATGGATGTAAATAGATCACTTGAAGCAAATGTTAACCGTCAAGCAAATGTTAACCGTCAAGCAATATATATCTTTTTTAAACGCTCATTTAGCTTAGATTGTTTTATAGTTTTTTTTTTTTTTTTTATATCTGCAGTTCAAAACTTGGCTACTTTTTGTATGTTTGCTATTTGAAAATATACATTAGGGAATTTTTTTTTTCCATCATTGTTCCCCGAAGTGGGCACCCATAGGAAATTAATGGGAAATAGCATAATTCAAAGCTCTTTTTATGTCCAATAAAAATAAAATTAAAGATTTTTTTAAATGTTCAACAAATCCAACACAACACGGATAAAACATACACCTAAATGAAGGTATAAGTTTGTACCCCCCAAAACACCATTGAAAACTATCGCCATTTACATTCTATTGCTAAACATTTTGAGATTTGTAAACAATCATAAGCCACCAGATTTTACCATAATCACCTAATTCCAAGGTTTTAGATGTCTGTACTAACTGGAATTATTTTTGAAATTAAATGTAATGTTTACTTATATAGCACATTTATAGGCCATACATCCAAAGCACTTCACAGTCATGAGGGGGTCTCTCCACACCACCCCCACCAGTGTGCAGCTTCCACTTGGATGATGTGACAGCAGCCATTGGACAATGGCGCCTGTGCTTATCACACACCAGCTCCACTCCACTGTTGGAGATAGAGCTAGTGAATGAGGATGATTGGGATGTCATGATGGTTAAGGGCAGGGCACCAGGGTGATGCTCCTACTCTTTACGAGAAGTGCCATGACCGCAGAGAGTCAGGACCTTGGTTTAACGCCTCTTCTGAAAGATGGCGCTCACTGAAAGTATAGTGTCCCCTTCACTAAACTGGGGCATTAGAACTTTAGACCATCCAACAGCAACCCAGTTTTCCCATGAGGTCTCCCATCTAGGTACAGACCAGGCTCAGCCCTGCTTAGCTTCAGTGAGTAACCGGTTTGGGCCTCAGGGTGATTTAACTGTGGTAACATAATGATGGAAAATAGATATTAAAAATGAGCATAAATTGAACAAGATCATAATATGCTTATTTACCAAAAAAAAAAAAAAAAAAAAAAAAAAACTTTTTAGATGTGTATATATATATATATATATATATATATATATATATATATATATATATATATATATATATATATATATATATATATATATATATATATATATAAAAATCTGAATTATTATTATTTTTTTTTCAAAGACAGTAAGTTCCCTAAAGGCCTCTAAGTCTAACCATTAAAAAAAGGAATTATAAAGACTTCTTACTGTTTAACATACATATGACACAAGAAAACAATTACAACTCAACTCACGATTGATTAAAATAGAATCTGGCACTAATATATTGCTATTTTGATAATGTGATGTATTGGCATAAAAATATAATTGCACAGAAATCGGCTGTCATAATTAAATTTTTAATTAGTCAAGTTTCCAAAAGGGCATATGAAAGTAGTCTGGATGACTTAAATTATTTGATCTTTATTCCATTTTTTCTTGATTTTTGGCACCGACTAAAACTGTTTCAGCTGTGCTTTTAAATGAATTGAAATATTTTGTCTTGTTTCTTCTTCATTTAAATGGTTTGCACTGAGCTCACTGCAATGAAAGACCATTAAGAATAGTAGAGAAAAGAAGGAGTTTTCTTCTCTTTAGAACACACAATGCAACTCTGCTTTAGAATTTGGCTTAAGGAATGTACGGTGTTCTACATTTTGTCCACGTAGGCAGTGAAGTCGGTTTTGGAGCAGAGCCATAGTGATTCCATGTATTGTTCTTGGACTGATCGTTTTCACTGTGGACAAAGCCCTTGAGGGTGTCCTTTTAGCTCGAGTTGCTCCAGTCAATAATTTCTGATTAATTAAAGGCAACATCCTGTCCTAAACGATTGGATTAGAGAAAATCCACAAGCCTGCTCAATGCTGTAATTGGTACATGGTTTTTACAGTTGTGTGTTAATCCCCCTCTCTGACTAGTTGGTATAATGTTTCTTTAGCGATTGACTTGCATGAAAATGGAACAGTCCAAGTGGCCAATGGGGGCGGTCACGTAAATAGGCAACACAGGGGATTTCCTAGGTTGCTATCTTTTTAGGGGCTGCAGTTTAGGCAGAGGGTATTTTTTGGTTGGAGAAAGGATCTAAATAATACAAGAATACAGTTATGATTTCATTTGGTATTTGAACCAATGCAGGGAGTTTGATTGACAGGAAATCTGATTGTCATGACACTACTTTGTTTGATGCCTATTTCTAAGCAGATTAATATTACCTAATTTATTACATGTAGTCAACAAATATAATAAATGATAAATGTTAATTGAAATAATAGCAATGTTTAACAAATTGCCACAGAACCCTTTCTCCAGCTTAAGAAAATTCTGCATGTATATGATTTCCTAGGTATGGGTTTGGGTAATATTTTGATTTAGTTTAATTCTGTAAATTATCCAAATTTCAAATACAAGTATTACTGTTTAGAGCAATTTTAGACCATGACAATTAGTCAAATTAATAAATATTTTCATTCATTGTAGTTTGACAATCAGAGTTATTCTTCTAAATCTTGCTTTTTAAACCTTTTTTGCAGTTTAGTTTTTAGTTTTTTTAAAAAATAAATCGTATGTATGTATGTATGTATGTATGGATGGATGGATGGATGGATGGATGGATGTATGCATGCAGGGATGGGCAAAATACATTGAAATGTATTTTAAAATAAACTACCCAATACCTACATTTTAAGTGTATCAAAATAAACTACAAAATACAGCAGCCACAAATGTATCAAAATAAAATACTGTATCTTGTGTTTTAAAAATACTGCTGTATACGTTTACAAGGTAGCAGGACATTTTTTTTTCGCAAACCTTCTATCAATAGGCCTATTTGACCAATCCCTTTGACTTAGTAAAGTAACTGACTTAGTAAAGTAAACAATGCAAAGCAAGTTTAAGTCAACTTCTCTGCCAACTCTTTCACCTGTACTATTGTACATGAGGAGGTTTTCATAAAAAGTTGTAACTTGTATAAGTTTTATTCATAAAACTTGTTTTTACCGTAAATTTAGGATATATTTTGTACAAATTTCATAGAGAAAGTCCTGTCTTGAAAATGATCTCTTTAATTACTGTAAAACTCATTTAATTCAGATAAAGAGTTGGAATATAGTATTATATTTCTTAAAAGTCTTATTTTTTTACCATTTTGCAATTGAAATTTTCAATAGTCAATGTAAAATCACAATTTCTGAAAAAAAATCCAGTTTCCATAAATCATGGTTTTTATGATTCATGGCTGGTTTTCCATTTTATTTGATGTAATAAAATAACCAAACAAAACATAAATGAATAACTATTCAGACAAAAAAAAACTTTACAAAAAAACCACAACAGTAATGCTACATCACACAAAAACATTTAGAACAGTTTGACATAAATATGTTTACAGTGCATCAAACATGTAGAAAATTGCCAAATATCCCATCTTCATGGAATTCAAAGGAGATAATTGATTATTGGGGGCTGGAACTGAATATTTGAACACCGTTTTATGCATTTATTTTTATTTTTTGTATTTGCACAGTGTGAACCGACAGTGACCCACAACCCCACAGCAATCCCTCTGGTCACAGGATATCTTCAGAAAATGTTGTCCATGCCAGCCCAGCTGCCCACTGACCGATGCCACTGTCCTGCTCTCAAGGTACTGTAAAGCTAAAGCAAGAAAACCTTCTTAAAATGGGAACCTAGCACTCCACAACAGATCCCGAGGTAATGCCGCATGTGAAATGAATGGCCAATTAAAGCGCATTTATGCCAGTCCGTATATCTGGATGACAGCCAGAGATGGAAATAAAAGCTTATTAGAAGCAATTTAGCACAAATAAAGGGCTGTTTGGGCACAGACATGCACTTCATCAGAGGCTGATGTTCAGCTAATCTCTTCTGAAGTACAAAGAGCCAGAGTTCAGGCCAGGACGACTCTTTGAATTTTGATCACAGTATGTTGGACCTGATAGGGAGAAGCGATTTTTAGCATATTAACATTGCATAATGTGACTTATGTGTATTTGAAAGGGGGATCAAGGGCTTCCGGGTTTGGCAGGACATTCTGGACAAAAGGGAGGTAATGGAGAAATGGTAAGAAATGGGTTTCATCAGTGTTAAATATAGATTTCTTTCTTTTTTTTTTTTTTAATAACACAGAATTGCCTATTGTTTGGTGACATTTAATAGATTCTTTTTTGACATGACTGAGTGCATGTACATTACAAATCATGACTTCTGGTTTCAGCATAGATTTCTAATTTCTATTCCATTTTCTATTTGCAAAATAAACTTGTAAACTAATGTCATTGATAAAATGCATAATCTATGTATGTAATTAAGTAATACAATCTGGTTAAATTACAAATTGCATATAATCCAAACTACTACCTGGAACAATTTAATTTAATTTAATTTAATTTAATTTAATTTAATTTAATTTAATTTAATTTAATTTAATTTAATTTAATTTAATTTAATTTAATTTAATGTTTTACTCAATTAAGTCAATTAATTTAATTCTATTTAATTCTATTTACTTTTGTTTTTAGTTTAATTTTAATTTACTTTACTCCTAATTTAATTTAATATATTTTATTTATTTAATTAATTCAAATATATTTAATTTAATTTTATTTAATTGTATTATTTTTTACTTCATTCTTAATTTAATTTAATTTAATTCCATTTAATTTAATTTTAATTTATTTTGCTTTATTTTATTTTATTCATTTTTTAGTTTAATTTAATGTAACTTATTTTATTTTAAATTTAATTTAATCGTATTTCATTTTATTTTATTTTATTTTTATGTAAAGCCATTCAAGATTTATGTTGTCTGTTTATTGATGTTTTATGAAGTGAAATGATTGCACTTTTACTAATAATTAAACTATTTTTAATATTTGATTGTCAAAGTGCCTGCAGCTCAACTAAATAGAAACGTCGTTTAGATCTTGAATGGTCTGACAATGAGTAAACAAATTCTCCATAAAGGTGTTTTTTTTTCCCTAAATGAACGTGTAGCTGATAATAGTCCCGTACCCTTCATTGTGAGAGATTGCAGTCTTCAAGAATGACTGGAATCTTTATAAGTGAACAGCTGATGATATGTTTGTAGAGGACAAATGGTCTTTAAGGTCATTAGCCTAATTAGTTTGTTGTGTTTTGGAATAGAGACGTTTCTTGACAAGAGCCACTTGTTTAGTTTGGGGTGGGAAATTTGGAATACCTTTTGGGAACAAGCAGTCAGTAAATCACACTCCTGTAGGACCAGCTTTCTATGGATGTGTGTGTGTTTTTTAACATAATTGATGCAGCCACTGCAGGTCTTTTTTTTTTTTTTTTTTGTAATACAGTAGGATGTTTTTGCACGACTTTTTAGCCTCATTAATTAATTAATTAATTCATTCATTCTTTTGCCTTCGGCTTAGTACCTTTTCCAATGTAAATGGTTGATGAGTTTACATGCATGTGTGTGTACATAACATTCTGTAGTGCATTCAGTAATTGTTTAATGTCATTTGGGGATTTTAGTCTTCATACAGTTTGCTACATTTATAAAACACCCGTGTCTTGAGGTTGTTCTGTATGATGCAATTTTTGTAGCGTGATTTGATTGAATGAGAATCACAGAACTTATCATTCTTCTTAACCACTCAAATATATATAAAAAAATTAAATTAAAATAAAGTAGTGACTGCAGGTTGAAGGAAAATAGTGAAGTAAAATACTGATACATCAGTGTTTCCCAACCCTGTTCCTGAAGGGACACCAACAATACACATTTTCAACCCATTCCTATTTAAACATCCCTGAATCAAATCATCAGGACATTAGAAGAGACTCCAAAACCTGAAATGAATGGGTCAGATAAGGGAGACATCCAAAATATTTATTGTTGGTGTGCCTTTAGGAACAGGGTTGGGAAACACTGCGATACAGCACTAAGATGTATTCAAGTGAAATTAATGACCCATTTCCACTAAGTGGTACAGCACAGTACGGTATGTGTCACCTTTTATCAGGCTTGCATTTCCACTGCCAAAAGGACACCAATGGTTTTGGTGGGCATGGTGTATGACATAATGTTTCGGTCGATGTCATTCTCGCTTGAGGAAATTCAAAGTAATGCTGTATGGGTTGTTCACATATCATATAAGAAGCAATTCTTACAAAACAGATGCTTTATACACATAAATACTTGTGTATAAATGTTCATTACTAACTTTTCTATAAACAGGATTTAATTATAACTGCAAATCAATGATTGATGAGTGTAAAATAGCCTACTGTAATGCCTGTGATTATATAAAATAAATAAATGCAACATAAATGAACACATACTGACCCTTACAGTCTCTGATATATTACCAATTACAGAAAAAATACACACATCATAGATTTAGTCTTTATTTAATATAAAAGCTTATCGAAGCGTACTATACCACTCGGTGGAAACGGGCCATAAAAATTGAAAGCTACTTAGTAAAGTACAATTCCTGAGAAAATTTGAGTAATTGTAATTTATTACTTTACACCACTGCTCTCCAATGTGTTACACAAGTATAATAATAGCATTTTTTACTGTAACAAAGGAATGCTGCCAAATGTACCAAAGTAAAAGTTTTTTTCTTCACAAAAAATGTACTTGAATATAAGTACACATCTTTTAAACATACTCTAAAGTACAAGTTATCCAAAAACTGTACTGAAGTAAATGCAATTCATTACTTTGCACCTCTGCACAGTTGGTGTTAATGGATGACGGGTTTGTTATTGTTGTATTTTAGTGGCTCCTGCTGCTTCAAACCTCACTTTTCCCTAATTGTGTTCTCCGAAAAAAATAAATAAAATAAAATAAAAAATCTCAGTTCAATGTCAAACTGAATGCAACTTGCATTTATTTGTTGACCTCAAATAGGATTTAGCACAGTGCTTTCCAAATCTAATAGAATAAGGAACAAGTGTAATTACTTTTGGTACAAGAACACGACATTTTGTTATTAGCACGTATTGAATTTATGATGCATTTCCAAGATATTTCATCCGAGTTATGAATGTTACTTTTTATTAGCGGCCTGCTGAAGGTGAAAGTGAGCTTCATTGTTTTGCAGGTGCCTCTGTGCATGATAAATCCACTGTTTTGGCCGCTGGAATCTCAAATAACGTTACTTTAGACAGGCAGATAATTGGATAATTCAGCATTTCGTGACACTCTGGGCTATTGTTTCTTTTTTTGGTGGATCACTATAGATGTGCATGTTCAGGTTCTCAAGTTATCATGGCTGGAATGCTGTACAGCTACTGTGGAATAAGTGGACAATCCCATGGGATATTCTAGGATCGTGTTTAACACTTGATGGAGAGTCAGATCTCCATTTGCAGTAGTTTGAAGTCAATAGGTCATTGCAGAGAATTTAGACGTCCATTGTCCTGATTTAGAATGAAACATTCTTGCGTATCTATCTTCTGACTACTGTCTTGTCACAGTAAGGCTATCATTTATCAAGCGGTCAGTGTCAGAACTGTCTGGACATGCTTGATTTGTAGCCCATATAAGTGATAGTATTAGACATTAGCATTCTGAAAAGCATTTTATTGGACAAGAAAAGAAGTTCTCTGCGGTGTGCAAGTTATTTTGGTCCATGCAGCATTTTGATTAGATGAGAAAATTCATGGAAATGAATGGCCAGCAAATCATTGCATATTTGTCTTTTGACACAATAAACCAATTAATTTTTATTCTGAGCTCCTATATATGGAATAAAAGATGTTGTCATTTCATTTATTTATTTATTTGTTTATTTTTTTGCTGGGGTATATTGATTTAAATAAATTTTTGTGGCACCCCAGAAATATATTTTTCACCCCATTTTTGTTATGTTTATTTATTTATTTATTTATTTATTTATTTATCTATTTTTAAAATCATCATCATCATCATCATCCTTCTCCTTCTTCTTCTTCTTCTTCTTCTTCTTCTATAACTATTATTTATATTATTATTATTTGTTTTTTAAAACTACATTTAATGTTTAAATATTTTAGCAGTGAAAACAGTTAAAATAAAAAATAAATAAAAAATAAAGCTGCAGTTTAAAGGTGCAATAGGAGATCTTTGAAAATGCTAACGTTAGCCTGATGGCACTGAAAGCAGCACCCCCTCAACGCATGACTGTGCACTAAACAACATCATTACAATATATTGCGTAACATTCACCAGAGAGAAAAGGTATAGTACATTAAATAAATACAATACCTAGCATTAAAAAGAATGTAGATTGTTGACGTTTGCCTACTTTTCTAATATTCTTATATCCTATATATTTTCTGCGCTAACAATGCGTGCGGAGATATGCAGTTACATATTTTGAAAGGCAGGTTGGAAAGCCTTTTGTAATGTTCGCAGCGATTTGTTTTGATTGGATGAACATTTATTTTGTTCCTACACCTTTCACAGAGTATTTATTTACAAATTATACATTTAGAACACTTAATTTAATGATTGCTATTGTGGATGTGAAGAGACTTTCGTAACAAAACCAGCATAACCAAAACAGTTTCTAAAGACAATCAACTAGTTCACCTTCAACATAAATGTTTAAAGGCACAGTATGTTATTTTTGCCTCTTGAAGGAGCGTATTCACAACAAACACAGGCATAGTTTGTTGATGCTGGGACTGAGTTTGGAATCATGGGAGTAAGATTTGAACATTCTTTGAAACATTCGGGGTAATGCAAGTACATAATACAGCAAAATAGATAACATGGTTGTAGAGAATTAGGGAAATTTTTGTAAAAATTACTTAAATTAACAAATAAT